ACAATTCTTATTGGATATAGAATCAAATTAAGAAAGAACTATATGAAAATATAAATCCCATCTCTCTAGAGGCAGACTGAGCTGGATTCAGATCAACCCCTCCAGCCAAGGATAGCTGACATGGGTCCTGTCACCTTGACACTTTAAAATAATTAAGGGACATTTGATCTGCTAGGTTTGAAGACAGGAAATTACTCCACAGCTTGATGGTGGGATGTTAGTAGATATAGAGAAAAATATCTACTGTACAGACAGTACACTTCCCCCTAGATGGTACAGCTGATTAGACTGTACATTGCAGAACTGCTGATATAACCTAAACCGGCATGCCTAATATGACAAGGAATCCGGTTGTATTTTTTACATCAAAAAGGGTCACAGATTATCAAGGACTGGAATCCCAGGGAAAAGGAGGAAGGATGATGTTATGAGACATCTGAATCCATATACCTAATGGACTGACTGCATAAAACTAAATCTATATTGGACACAATTCCTATCCTTTAATCTGGTGGTTCTAAACCTGGAGGTACGCAGAGGTCTTCCAGGGGGTAAATCAACTCATCTAGATATTTGCCTAGATAACAGGCTACATAAAAAGCACTAGCGAAGTCAGTACAAACTAAAATTTCATACAACTTGTTTAGACTGCTCTATAGACTATACACTGAAATGTAAGTACAATATTTATATTCCAATTCATTTATTTTATAATTATGATAAAAATGAGAAAGTAAGCTAGTTTCAGTTATAGCGTGCTGTGACACTTGTGTATTTTATGTCTGATTTTGTAAGCAAGTAGTTTTTAAGTGAGATGAAACTTGGGGGTACGCAACACAAATCAGATCCTAAAAGGGGTACAATAGTCTGGAAAGATTGAGAGCCACTGCATTATTCTGATTTACTCTATTTAAAATAAATTGTTTACTACAGCTCCCGTGGTTTTAGACTATTTGACACAGACTGTCCTGAAGCTCTGAAACAACCTTCAGCTTCTAAAAGATAGAAGAGAGGTATCTGGAACCTACCTGTCTTGGGATTCTGAAACAAAGTCACTTGTCTGCAAGGCTGCAATCCTAATGATATACAGGAAATGCCAAATGACCAAGGAAGAGAATTGAGTTTAAAGGGTCTGAGGTGACATACTGGCCCCAAATTGTCTCTGCCAAAGATTAGAAATATATCAGTCAAGATTTGGTGATAATATTGGTATGCTAGCCAACATTTTCTCTCTCTCTCTCTCTAACAAGTTCTAATATCCAAGACTATGTAGATTTGTCAGGGAATCAGGTTGAGGGCAGTCTAGCCTCCTGGTCAGAGCAAGGGTCAGCACCCATAATCAGAGTCAGAACCACAGAACCTAGTATCAAGGAAGGCAGGAGCAAGGCTGAGACAGGACTGGAACAAGGCTTGGTTCAATGCAGGATCTAGGCTGGAGCAAAAAGCAAGACCGAAGCAGAACCTGGAACAAGACGAACACAGGAAAGCAGAGAATCTGCAGGCACGTTCATCGAGAAGCCAGCAAGCTGTTGCTGCTGCTGGCTTTAAGAACAGGTCTGCTAGCTTCCTCAGATAGGCAGGTGGCTTTGCTGATGTGACCCAGCTGTGCTCATTAGGCTGTCAGGAGAATGAGCAGGTGCAGCTGCAGGGCCTCATTCCTGACAAGATGTTTTCCTGAACAGACCTTTTCTACTACATTTGCCTACATGGGAATAGCACTGTCAAAAAGCTCATTGCTTTTTGAAGTGCTTTGGGTGAGTTTGAGTAAAAAAAATACTGTTTAAAACCAAATTCTATGCTCCAAGCACATGCTTCTGAAATATTTCACCTTAACATTCGGTAGCAAAATGATTAAGATACTGTGCTGCAAAGTTCAGATCTGGTTCCAACTTTCCCCAAATGGATTCAAAGTTCAACTTTGGGCTTATCTCTTTAAAAAAAATAGTAATAGAAAATCTCTGCCCATGTAAGATAGTAGGAGCATAGGGCCAGATTTTTAAAGTTATTTAGGTGCCTAAAGCTGCAGGTAGGTGCCTGTGAAAATCCCTATCAGCCTAACTCCCCCTGATTTCCTAAAAAATCTCATTAGGTACCTAAATACCTTTAAAACTCTGGCCCATAGTCCATAACAGAATATGCTCAAAAAACCCACCAAAAAGTAGTGTTTCAAAACCAACCTGATGTATTAAAAGAAATCTGTCTGTACCTGTCTTACCAAAGCTGAAAGTATCAAATAACACACAGAGAAATATATTCTCATGCCAAATGCTTTTGAAAAAAAATAGGTTCAAACCAATGCTCACAATGCCATCACTAATGAAAACCCTCTTTATGAGACCATGGAAACTATCTGATGAGTCTGACCTTCATAACCCAGGGCAGGCCTAGCCTTTTTCCACTCTCTGATTCATTCTCTTGACGAGATATTTTATATGTAATGTATAGTTTATCCTTCTTGGTTCAGACACTCTGCATATACAAACCCAGGGCCAGGTTGTGATTCCCACATTACATTTAGTGAATAACTGTGCACACTAATAGTCCCATTAACTAAGTGGAACTGCTCACTAATTTGAGAGGAAGTTACAATCAGGCCCATACAGTATATGTGATATTTCATATTTGCACATTTCTCATATGAGTAATAATTTTCCTATAATCATGCCATTTACACATCTCGAAGAAACATATGTATTGATAGAGATAAAATATACAGTATCTATCATTTTCTATAATAGCAGATGCTAACATTCTACCATTGCTTATGTACCTGTGCTACATGCATTCAATTCAATAAGGAAAGTTTTTGGCCTATGGTATTGAAGTAAATGAACCTTAGCTCGTCAAACTTCAGTAACATGCACAGAGAAAAATTAAACAGAAAAGGAAAAAGAAATAAAGCGTGAAAATAATTTCAGTGGTTATTAATTACAGAAGAAAGTCACTTTTTCAACAGTTTTGTTAGCAACAGAATTTCTGAAAAGGTACATTTTAAAAACAAGACAATAGTATTTTTCCCCCATTATAATTATTATTTTTCCTGGTCTGAATGCAAGCAACACTCCTGAACCAATCAAGGTTAGAATTGTAGCTGTCAGAGCCAACAATACTTCTCCATTTTCAGTTTTCTTACTGAAAAATCTAAATGGATAGCTTTTTCATTAGACAATCTAGTTTCTTCATAGAGTATGAATGGAAGATATGAATTAATAGATTGAGAGCCAGAGATGACAGCTGCAACTGCTCTGAAAAAGAAAGAATAAAAAATAAAGGATTTTTTTTAAAGAAAAAAGGTCGGAGCATTAATGGCTTTGCCACTCAGTACAGTTGATACATTAGTTTTCCCTGAATGGTATGTCACCACTTGTCTGTGTCAATCACATTAAATTCCTATCCATGTTCCAACATATGTCCAGACAAAGTCAACTTTCTAATGCAGACCAAAAAGGTATTTTGCTGTATATGCAGCAGTTACACAGACTCCCTGCCCTTTCCGTGCTCTCCTCCCCACCTCCCTAAAAATGGGTGACATGGAATGCAATGACCCTAAAGGGCAAATCTCAATATTTTCACTTTTTAATTAACAATTTAAATAAACCAACGAAATGAGCAGCCAGGAGAACACAGCCAAATCCTCAACTATGCTCGAGGATCACACAGCGTGCGAAGCAGGGAGATGGGGGAGAGTGCAAAAATGGTGCAAAGTTCCCAGGTTCTGAGAATACTCAGTGATTGGTACACTGGTACAAATGACAGCTGCAAAAAATGCTGACTACTTATGGCCCTAAGGCAGTGAGGTCTAGTGAACAGGTCACTGGACTGGTGATCAGAAGACCTGAGTTCTATTTTCGCCACTTCCACTGACCTCTGGGTCACCTTGGGCAAGTCTGTCTCTCTCCTTCCCCTCTCACCTTTTCTCTATTTAGATTTTAAACTCTGAAAGTGCAGGTAGTGTTTCTTGCTATGTGTTTGCAAACTACTTAGCACAATGGGGACCTGACCTTGGTTAGGACATATAGGTGCTACTGCAATACAAATAATAGTGGGACAGAAATGGTAGAGGGATCAACACAATGTTATGGTGTCACAACCAGACCCACTACACCAGCAGTTGGAAAGATAGTGGTGCAGGCACCTCAACACCAGCCCCCTTGCCCTGGGGGGTGATCCTTCTGGGGCTAGATATGACAGACACACAGTCAGAACCAGCCAACTGTGTGGTGCAAGGCATCCACGCTGCACAGAAGGCTCTGGCCAAGAATGTACTCAAATTTATGACAGGCCAGAGCCACAAAATCCAGATCTGGATATGAACTTTCACTATGTTTGCAGATGTACAGATCTGGGTGTTTTGGTTTGGGATCACATATGGGGGTCTCTCCATGTATTGCATCTACGCTCCATAAACTGCACTGGTTTTAAATTCCTGGAACCTATTCAAAAAGCGGATTTTGATCTGTAAATCTCTTTTTGGATCCCAGGTGCCTTAGAGACTGCCCTGCTCTTAGTGTTTAGAGTAAACAGTTTAGATGAGCTGGACCACTCAAGCTGACATATGTCTGAAGGCAGGGCACTCTCAGTGAAAGTCCTTAACCTCTGGTATTTGTTTTCCACAAGGTCCAACAGAGTCACTTTTTGGTGACTTTCTGAGCACATTAAAAGCCAAGTTTATTCATTTTCTGAATGGACAGGTGGTTGAGATGCGAAGGTTTTATAATTGGAATGAGGGGGATATTAAAATTTTGAATTGGGATCTATGGAATGCAGGTGTGAGACACAGTCATAAACCCAACAATGTAAGTGTCAAAATAGAAACAAAGAGAACAAAACTTAGCTCTCTACAGTGCAAATAAGAAACAGCGCATGCCAATTAAAGATCTACCCTTTAATAGCAGCAGCGATGCAGCATCAAGACTACACAAACCCAAGACTAGACGCACACATGGCCATATGTGCACTTTTCACACATCACCAAATGCATACTAAAATTGAGGATCAGATATATAATAGTCCATTGTTTCCTTTTCTGGGTAAAAATGTAGAGCAGAGGGACAGCTGCTTCTTTGTCCTCATGGTGTACTGCACATGGTGGGAGAAAGAGTATATTGACCCAGAAACCTATTATTAATAATCAAATATATTTCCATTTGAAACTGGGCCAGTTAAGTTGGATTTACGATTGTTTTGTGCCATTGCATAGGGGAAAATTAAGGCTTTTACCTTTGACAATGCAGGACCCAATCTTGCAAGGTGCTGAGCAGCCATCAACTTCAATTTGAGTCAAAGAGAACTAAGGATGAGCAACTTGAAGGATCAGGTACTTAAAAATTGTTTTTCCTGAAGTCAAATCATGACTGGAATAGTCTGTGTTTCAGGAAAATTAATTTAAATACAACTGTCACTCCTAAGTACAAGGAAGTTATGGGATATTAATAGTCTCTTGAATTATGTAAGAGATATGACTAATGTTTCATGTACCATAAGACTGTTATCTGCAAAAATAACATCTGTGTCTTTGTTCGGCACAGCTACAGTTTATCAGTAGTTCTGAACCATGGATGAAAGGATTCCATCAGGTTATGAGTTCTTCATCTCCAGATTTAAAACCCAACTTATAGATACTTTCACTTTATTCTTTTTGATCTGCGATGACTCAGACAAAGGTTCTTTCCTGTTTGGAAACTCATAAGTTCAAAAATGTCTAATAAACTATTCATTTCCACTCCCAAAGAGTACGGCCCACTTAAGTTAGAGATCATGGTTTAAATCTCCTCTTAAGAAGGCAGAAATTGATCCTACAAAATGTTCAACTGAGGGCCCAAGACAAGTAATAGCCAATGCAATATCTCAGAGAACTGAGGTGAATCCATTCCTGGAAGGCACCAGCTGCAGAAAAGACCTTTCATAGGTTATATTGGAGAACTTCAATTGATGGCAGTTATCATTTAGCTCTGAATGTTGCCAGGTACTAATGGATGTTATGTGTTATTAGCACACAAACAGTAAATCAGTAGCCATGATGTCTGAGAAAAGGACACTATAAAGAATTTATGAAAATCTAATTCCTATTTCTTTTAGTTCTGGCAACATCTACCTGGTTTCCGGAGGGAACAATAGCTGCTAACCCTATCATATTTTTGCTCCATATAGAGTACCCATCAATGGGAATTATCAGCGTTGTATCAGTGGCAATCATTCCTTGGTCTTCAGGAAACAATTCACAAAGGAGATGTCACAGCTTCCAACACCACACTGCCAACACACCATTCCTTTCAAATTCTGACAATCTTTGCACCCAATTAAACAAAATGTGTGAAAGTACATGAAATAGCCCGACTTAGGGCATGTCTGCACTTGGAGCTGGGCATGTAATTCCAAGCTCAAGAAGACACCCTAGTGCCAACTGTCATCCAGCTAGTGTGCTAAAAACAGAGTGTAGCCATGGCAATGTGAGCAGCAGGACAGGCTAACAGTCCTGAGTATATAGCCACCAGAGACCCTAGGCACATATTCAGGGCAGCTACCCCATACCACCATTCATGTTGCCATAGCCACACACTATTTTTAGCAGGCTAGCTTGATGAGAGCTAGCACAAGTATGTCTCCAAGCTGCAGGTCACACCCCGCAGCTCCAAGTGTAGTGAGGCCAAATGCTCTTACAGAGGATATTATCCCTGTTCTTCCACTACATGGATGGAAGAGGCTCCTTATTACCCATTATCTACTTAGTGGCCCCATGCACCAGAGGACAGGATTTGGCATTTTAATTGGTTAAGTCTTGATCATTAAGTGCAAACGGTTAGAGCCGAATTGTCAGAGAGGCTGAAAATCCACCTCCTCAGCTGAAGCAAATGGGAGCTGCTCAGTATTCAGCACTTTTGAAAATCAGGCCTCTTATTTAGGTGACTAAATGTGGTCTTAAGAATCTAACTATAGGCATATATAGATTTTTAGAAATCTTGGCCATGATTTCTTCAATACTCAGATATATTTGGGTGTACCTCATCATTTATCTTTTAGACATAGCCATGTTGCTTGTGTATCCAATGGCAATAGCCATCTCTTCAAGCTAGACTGCAATGTGTGTCCAAAGCCTTGAAGCCCTTCGGTTTTTAAATGTATCTTTCGTTTAATGTACCTCTCTAAACACTACAGCACTGAAATTGGAGTCTCCCACTGGAACAAGAGGCACCTGAAATCTACGGCTGAAATGTAACTCCTCAAGAACTGAAATTCACACTATCATCTTGTAAACCTTCGGAAGAATCTGGGACCCAATTTCAGAATTTTACACCTGTGATCACCCACTGTGTCTGTTGCTCAACACTAAAATAACATAGGCAGTACTCATCTGTCAGTATTCAAAAAAACAGGATTATTAGAAAGGAAGTTCACTATGATAATTTTAAATACTTTCATACATTTTTATAAAAACACTTAAAAGCTATTTTTCAAGTGATTAATGTTGATTAATTCACCACTAAAGTGATTATTTGCATAATTTTTGGAATGTATAAATAACCCAGTGATTTGTATGAATACTTTGGTCCCCAAAGTGTTTTTTAAAAGGTTTTCCTTTCAAATCAAGCTACTATTTTTACTCTATGCCCCACAGAACAATATTAAACAGGTGTATATATAGATTGTTCTTTTGTACTGTCCATATTTATTATATGCAGAGAGTAAGAGTACATTTACAGACCCCTGTTAATAGTAGCCACTGATAAGACTACTTTTCTAGGTATTAGACAGCTATATACTGTAATGCAATTGAGACGGATGAACTCTCCAGGCAACTGCAATGTTACTGGCTGTTAGGATTGCTGCTGACCATTAGCACATAAATGAGTCAGAAGTAAACCTAGTATTTAGCTGTTCCTAGTTGTTAGTTTAGCTAAACCTCTTGTAGGCTGACTGAGAACTAACATAGTAAGGGAAGGATGGCAGGCATAGTGAGTGTGTGAAGAATCCCTCTAGGAAATTTTTATTACACCTATGTAGTTTCCTTTTATGTCAGTAATCCACTCTGCCACCTTGTGGGCACCCCCTGGGGTCTAGAGGCAGCATTGCATGGGGTCATCATCAATGGCACCCATTGGTGCATGCTTCCTTGGCCCCGCAATGGCCTGTCTGTGTCTGGTTCTCCATGGCCACTTAAAAGTTCAATCCCCTTCTGTGATAACAAAAGATCCCATTGTAAGTCCAAAATAAATCTCAAATAACTTTTTCTGCCCTCTCAGACCACGTTGAAGTCCTCTGCTCCTGGGCCATACAGAGTTCCTCCTTGGCTGCTTCTTCCGCAGCAGGATACCCCATGCCACCTCCCTTCCCCAAGGAAATTTACCTCAGGGATCTCCCTGCCATTTACAAGCCCTATGTCAGGACCCCTCCTCCCCAACTAACCTAGTCTCTTCCAGACTGACTTTCCCAAGCCTTCCCCAAGAGAGACACCTCCTTGTTTTTATCTTCTGGGTTACCTCCCTCTGACCGAACTTAAGTTATCCTCCACAACTTGGACCAACACACACAATCTCATCCAGCTGGGTCCATTAATTGCACCTAAGTGGCTGGATCATGCTCAAGACTGAGGGGCAACTTCTAGGTTACAGGCAAGGTGGAGCCCAGCTTGCCTTAAAGGGCCAGCCAGTCTGTGGCACACCCCAATCACTAGACAAAGGGAAGCTATCATCATGATTCACCCCAAAGTCTCCTGGACCCTGCCAAATTTCACAACTGACTAGTGGAGTGCTCTTCTCACCCCAGGGAGAATTAAAGAAGCAATACAATCACATGCAATAGATACTTTGGCATCAAAGCACTCCCTTCTACCACATGCCCACACACAGCTCCTTGGCTCTCTGACCAGCTGTGACAAAATAAGCAGGAAGGAAGAGAACTGGAAAAAAACTGCAGTCTGACACTGAAAAATCCAGACACAAAGATATCTCCCTCCAAATGTATGCTCCTGTTCCACTAGAAGCTAAAATAGCTTATTTCTCATCAGCCATAGAGGCAGAAATGTCTTGCCTTTCAGAGCTCTTCTGAATGGTAAACCACTCTGTAAACTCAGAAGGCCTACACTCAGTCCCAGAATATAAACCCTCCTGTTTTCTTACCTGCATTCAAGACCACCTCACAGATTTCCACACGCAAATAAAGCCCAGGACTGGGGACACCGTGCTGCCTTTCCTGTCCATTCATACATGATGTGATAATCCTGGATTTCGTCAGTGTTTCTGTCACCTGCAAATCTGATCCTTGCCCTTTCTGTCTGAAGGAAAGAGGTTACAGAACACCCTGGACCAATGCTAATAGATATCATCAACAACTCCTTTTAAGCAGGTTGCCTAACCTCCACTGGTGAAATAACTGATTTTATCCATTACCAAAGAAGCCATCACTTCATGCCAGCAACCTTGCAAACCACCCCTCACTTTTTCAACCTTCCATTTCTAAGCAAGCTAATCACAAATATAATTTTCAAAACCACATTTCTGCAGCCACCATCCTGGAGCTGGCTTCAGGCAAAGACAGGGACAGCACTGATCACCCTGGTGCCTGACTTTCCTCTGTCCACTGACAGGGAAAATATATTCATACTAATCCTGCTGGACTTTTCAAGTGATACAATTGATCTCCTAGCTCTCCTGCACCAATTCCAAGAGGAAGCAGCAGTTAACAGAAATGCCCCACTGTGACTCAGGCCTTTCCTTTCAGACCAAACCCAAAAGGTCACCATGTGAAGCTGCTCCCTTTCCTCCAGACCCCTTATATGCAAGGCTCTCTGTTCTCTCCCCTTCCTTTTTCAACGTCTGCATGAATCCACTGAGAGAGCTAATGAGACAGGATGGGCTGAAGTCTCATCAGTACACAGACAACAACCAATTCTACATCTCCTTTATGTCAACTGAAAACAACACCTACTCCAAGCTTTCTGACTGCCTTTTTGAGATCAGCACTTGAATGAAGAGCAGATGACTGAAACTGAAACTGGACAAGACTTAGGTGATGCTAGTAGGAAGAAGGGGAAAACAGCCTTGGGGACTTCCCTTTCTTATCTATTCCATCCATTATAGACATTTACCATCAAATGTAGATGTCTATAATGCCAAATTGGTTCATAGTCTTTGGTATCCTCTTCGGACTTGTCTATAAAGTTAATTTTGATTAAGGTATGGTGTGAATTTAAAGCACAAGAGCTACTCCAGAACAGCTCTCCATGTGGACACTCTTATTACGGAATAAGTTTTCACACAGGGAGCTATTCTGCAATAACTATTCTGGTTAATTTCCCCATATGCACAATCCCTTGTACTC